TGACAACTTCAATCTTTCCTCCATTTATCATAATACTGCATATTGGCCCAGTTGTGAGGATTTTTGTTTTCTTTATGTTGAGATGTAATCCATATTGCAGACTGTAGTCTTTAATCTTCATCAGTAAGTGTTTCAAGTCATCCTCACTTTCTGCAAGCAAAGTTGTGTCATTTGCATATCACTAATGAGTCTTCCTCCAATCCCAATGCCAAGTCCTCTTCATATAGTCCAGCTTCTCAGATTACTTGCTCAGCATACAGACTGAGTAAGTATGGTGAAAGGATACAACCCTGATGCATTCCCTTTCTGATTTTAAACCATCCACTATTTCCTTGTTCAATTCAAATGACATCCTCCTGGTCTGTGGACAGGTTCCTCATCAGCACCATTAAGTGTTCTGGAATTCCCATTCTTCTCAATGTTATCCATAATTTGTTATGAGTCACACAATCTAATGCTTTTGCATAGTCAATAAAACACAACATCTTTCCGGTATTCTTTGCTTTCAGCCAAGATCCATCTGCAATCCATCAGCAACGATATCTCTCGTTCCACATCCTCTTCTGAACCCAGCTTGCATTTCTGGAAGTTCTTTGTCAATAAACTGCTGCAACCGTTTTTGAATTAACTTCAAGATTTTACTTGCGTGTGATATTAATATTTTTCAATAATTTCCACATTCTGTGGGATCACCTTTCTTTGGAATGGGTAAAATATGGATCTCTTCCAGTTAGTTGGCCAGGTAGCTGTCTTCCAAATTTCTTGGCATAGATGAATGAATGGCTCTAGCATGGCATCCGTTTATTGAAACATTCAATGGATATTCCATCAATTACTGGATATTGCCTTTAGACTTTTAAATTTTACTTTCTCTAATTAATTTAACAGGATTTTTTTTTCTGCTCTGCTGGATTCTGGGTCACACATGAAGGTAAGTAAGGAGGACATAGCCCTGACATTAAAGAGCACACCAAGGAGAAGAGAGAGGTAGGCTTGGAAACAGAGAAGTAGGCACAGTGTGGCAGGCACCAAGGCAGGTTGAGTGTTTAGGATTGTCAGAAACAGACATGGGAGAGCTACTAACAACTGCCCTCTGAGCAGGGCCCTAAAGGCGAGTACGAGTGTGGGAAGGGCATTCCAGGCAGAGGAAGCAGCATTAGTAAGAGCAAGGAGGTGTCAGAAAGTGAAAGGTCTTCATAGATGGTCAGGGTAGACAGAAGTTGGTGGGCAGGGCCTTATCCAACACTAGAGACTGGGCTTTCTGTTCTAAAGCTCTGAGAGTGACCAGAGGGTTCTAGGAAAGGATGTTAGCTGACATTGGGAAAGCAAATAAATTTTATGTTTGAGAAATTAGAATTTTTAAAGTAACTTCAAAATACAAGTTTAGAAAAATTTACTAGGATTTAATTGTACCAGGTTAATGTCTTAGAAACTCTCCCTTAAAATATTTTAGTCAAAAAAAGAAAATGTATTTGATTATTTAATAAAGCTTATGCCTATTATGTTTTATAAAAAAATTATTAAATACGAAAAATACACCACCACTTGCCATTCATTACTGGTAACAGGACTCCTCTTATTTAACTCTTGGTGCAATTCTTCATTTTCTTTCACCACTTCTTGGACTCGTATCCTAAACATCCTCATTTCCTCCTGAAATAAAATTTATATAAATTCTAACACATACATCTATATATTTTTTTTAGTTCTAGTGCCGTCACTATAGCTAAGATCAAGTGTTAATAAGCATTTAGCAAAATCTCATGTAACATCAGACTGAAATTGTTAGTACCAACAGCAAGTGCCTGCCCTCGAGGAGCTAACTATCTAGTTAAAAAACAGACAGGAAACGGCTACAATGCCAAGTAGAAGGGACAGAAAGGCCCAGGTTTTTAATATTCACTTCCTAACTTCGTGATGGAATTCACCAGTCCCTAAAGAAGGGAATCATGGTTGGTAAAGTAGAGGGTTAGTGAAAAAGAGGAAGACCTTCAAGGAGATGGACTGACACTGTGGCTGCAACAATGGGCTCAAACATAGCAATGCTAATGAGGATGGTGAAAGAATAGGCAGTGTTTCATTCCATTGTACGTAGGGTTGCTGTTGAGCTGGAACTGACTCAATGGCACCTAACAACAATAATTTCATGACATTTTTCTATAACTACCAAATATTTTTAAAATAAATAAATAAATAAAAGGGGGGAGTAAAAAATTAGAGATGGCAGTGGGCCAGGAGCAAGAAGCAGAGCTGAAGTCCAAGGTCAAGGGGCTTTCACCTAGCCCCTAAAGCCCAGAACTTTGAACTCGGATTTCTAGCCACCCCCCCAAAAAAAAGCACCAATCACTGTAAACACTAATTTTATCTTTGTTTAAAAACTTTGGAGGACAGATTGGAGTTTTTTAAGATGAAATAAATAATTAATTAATTTAATCTTTAATTAAAGCTCGTTTTGCTGCTGGATGATTAGCGTGGGGTTTGGTACCACTTCACAAAGTGTCTGTTCATTTTGCCCCATTAAAACCATGAGAAATCCTTTCTTCTTCAAAGTGATCAGTCAATACAGCATTGTCAGTCATCAGTCCAATGGAAGGATGCTATTGCTTGGTCTCGCTTTTCTACTAATGGGATAGTGTTTCTGCTAGGCCTCTGCCATCACCGACTTTTCTCATTTTCTCAGTCAGGTTTTGGCCTGGTCAAGGGCCTTCAGTGAGAATCTTAGAAGACAGTATTTATTCTGAGATGCTTCTAAATGTTCCTCTCCCAGCTATCAAACACTTATGTTCACAGCTATTTAACGTAAATCAGCATTGCCAAGTAATTTCCCTTCCTCTCATCTTTTCGCCTGCCTGCCTAGCTTCCTTCTTTCTCCTCTCCTTTTTTTTTTAAACAAACTGTGGTAGTTATGTTTGTGTGTCAACTTGGCTGGGCCTGGTTGAGTGGCTGGGCTGCTGGTGGGATGATGAGACTGGCAATCAACTCCATGGTGGGATCTACCACAAGCAGCTGAGTAGCTGCCTTTGGGGTGTGGTCTGCTTCCTGTATATAAGGAGAAGCCTTGGGAATGGTCTCTAGCCATTGGACCCTGCATGTAGCCATGTCATTACTGAGCAGCCTGCTATGCTCTGCTGACCTGGGGACTTACAATGGACTTAATGGCCTGCTATGTGGTTTGGTGACATTGGGACTGTGCCCTTTTTCCTTGTCAACCTTGGGGTTTCTCAGCTTCAGCAGCCAGCAGCTGTCTGAGTGAAGAAACACCTCTAGCTCCAGGGCCGGCAGCAGGAGGCAGAGCTGGATTCCAAGGTTGAGGAGCTTTCACCCAGCCCCTAAAGCCTGGCACTTTGAACTTGGACTTAAAGCCTCCAAATTGTAAGAATAAACTCCTGTTTGTTAAAGCCATCCTATTTGTGGT